CTAACGGCTAACAGGGCTAACAGCTAACGGTTAGCCCAGCTAAAGTAAACATGCACACAGAAATAGTAATGTTTGTTCAATCATTGTGTTTATAGACTTTACAAACATCGGATTAGTCTAAACGGTGATACAGTGATGTGAAAAAAAATGTGATATATATACACATATGTACACATATATATATGTATATATATATATATATATATATATATATATATAGCTAAAAGCTCTGCTGGTTTTCTACCCGGAAGTATTTGTAAACAACAAGGCGATTCCCTCTATAGTCCGGCCGGATGAGTCATGGCCTTGTAAAGGATTATGTTTGTTTCTTTTAGTTGGCGAGAATGTGTCGCCGCAAACGCGACAAACATCCACTAACTTTGATGGCGTTTTCTGCGAGCACGGCTGAGCTATTTTGTACCGCTACACGTGTTTCTAGTGGGACTATGTTTACAAGCACAAGAGTTCAGCGAGCCACCGAAGGACCACCCTGCGGATTTACTATTGGTTCTGCAACGTAGGGAGTTTTTTTAAACTCTGAAATTGTATCTGCCCATCTAAACACAAAATCAGGGAGAAAGTCATCAGTCTTTAGTTAAGCAAAGTGTCTGAAGACTGACTTGTGAGTCTAGTAAAGAACAGTCCCTTCATAAGTAAAGAACAGTCCCTAAAGTGCGGTGAGGTTTGTGGATGGTTACCTGCCACAAAGAGAGAAATGTGAATGGCTCGTTTCTCCCCTGACACAACACATACCTGTGTGCTCGGCTGTTCAGGTACATTTGGACAGCGATTGCAGTGCACCGAGCCGGAGCACTTCCGTTCACATCAGACACGCATTTCTCCACGCCTGTCGACAAGCGGTTCCGCTCCCAGCTTTTGTCTCCGTCACATTTGGGGCTGTTTTTACATCATGGGTAACTGCCCGGCTTGACACACTCGCTCCCAGCTCGCGCAGAAAATAGACCAGATGCCGAAACGATCACTGCAGGGCAGCTCCGCGGCCGGTGTGGATGACACAATCGGTTAAAATGGGCGCCGAAAGGAAACTGGCTTCGCTTCGAGGCTATTCACAGCGCTTCCGCGGGCGGTGTGGCCCTGGCGTTACGTGACAAAAGATCGTCTCTGCCTGAAATACATATTACTCTGCCAGGAAACCAGCCGATACCAGCGCCGTTCTACAGTAACAAAAAATGCATTTTTCGCAGTGCTGGTTCGGGGCCAGTGCTTAACTTGGAACCGGTTTTCCTGTTTCGACAGACAAAAGAACTGGCTCTGGGCCAGAAAAAATGGTTCCAGAGTGTCACCAGTTAGCTGGCCTAGAAGAACGAACCACATACATCATGGGGATGGGGGAGGGGTTATTGAGCCACTCAGCCACTGCAATGCTGGAGGCGATGGTGGACGAAAGCGTAACGCTGCCGCAAACGGAACCTGGTAAGTTTCTTTTTCGCCTTGCACATAGTTGTTTAATGTTACCAGTTTCTTCAGATAACAGCGGTGTCCCAGTTTAGGGCCCGCGTCCCTCGGAGGATGCGGCCCTAAATTGGGACACAGCTATTGTTTGTGACGTCTGCTTGGCTTAATGTTAACTGATCAACAGGTTAGCCTTGCTAACATTAGCTAACATTAGCAAGTTACTTAGCCATGGGCTCAACTAACAGCCCCACTTTCAGTTGGCTAAACATTGTATAATGTGTAGTGGACAAGTCACTGTTTAAAGCGATGTTTTTCATGTGGTCTACAGAGTTATCTGCCATCGAACAAGACGATGCTAACTTGGAGCTAAAGTCGCAACACCACTGCAGCTCACCAACACCATCCAGCAGCTCAGGTCAAAGCCACCACACCAGGTAAGAGATGCTGTGTTGTTTATCCAGTAGTTTGTCTCACCAGACACTATGCAGACATGGAGATATACCTAAAAGTATGACTTGATAATATAAATATGTGCTGTGATAAATGAACAATCATTCATACACAATCCCCTACCACTCATGACTGCTGCCATTGAACCAGGGCAGCTACATAGTCCAATCAGCAATACTATGCACAATTGCCACTGTTACTTTTATACCCACATCCTCATTTCCATATGGTGTGAGGTCTATATACTGTGTCGTAAGACTAGTGCTGATTGCTGAGCTGACATGTTTGTTACACTGTACTGCTGAACCTGTGTTTATCTACTTATGACTTTAAAAAAAAACTTTCAAACTGATTCTTCTATTCTTGTACACCCGGGAAGAGGAAGAGAGACAGCAACACAGGGCTGCTGGAATACCTGGAGAGGGCAGACGAGAGGTTCTTGCAACACAGCAAGAACCTGAATGATGCCCTGCTGCAGAAGCTGGAGACTGACACCAGTGTGTTTCTTGGACTGATGGGGCACATGGTATCTGTGATGGAGACCCAAGCCCAGAAATGAGCAGTTCTGTTTCATGGGAAGTTTTAGTTTTGCACATTCAATGCAAACTTGTCACTTTTATCATTAGCTCGTTTTTTGTATTTAAATAAATTCCTTTCTAAAGAGACATGTCTGCTTCAGTATGTTTTCACTTAATGATGTACAATTTAACTGTGTAATAAGTCCAAGTAAAGCTAGTAAAAACAAGTCAAGAACTCAACAGGTTACCCATTTATGAAGATGCTTTTCACGGATGTCTTCAGTCACTGTGTTTATAAAGAAATGAGAACATGACAGCCATAATCATTTCTATGAATTTATTGAACTGAAGGATGAAACAATATTGGTGACATGAAGTAGTCCAGCAAACACAGGTAAAAGTAGTCAGGTAAGCAGCAACAAAACAGCAAAAACAATGGAGAGTAGCAGCCAAAACATGTGTATCATACACAGCCAGAACTAAATAAAACAAACATTTGAATGGCAGGTTTTTAGGAGGCACCTCCACCGTCTTTTCAATCTCCCAAAAGCCATTTCCACAAGTGACTGTGCACTGCTTAATCTGTAGTTATATGTGTGTTGCTCAGGGCTCAATCTGCCAGTGTCCGCAAAGGGCTTCATGATCCAGCTCTGCATGGGGTAGGACAAAAATGTAGAGGTAAATAAGCATGTTGAGTGGAGAGTGATCAATACTAAAATGAATATCCATCATGCTATTTAACCCTTATGCCTCAAATAAATGTGTATGCACATGAGTGTCTGTATATAAATGTGTGTATGTGCAGATACATACAGGGTCTTGCAGATCTGCATTCAAAGCATGCGAATGTGCTGTACATTTAACGTATGAGGAAATGTACAGCACATTTGAAGTGTAATATATCATTCTATTGAGTTTATTACGTTCTATTGATGCCATATATGAACACAACCAAAATTATCAAGAAAATTAAGTGACAAACCAAGAATGTTCTTAGTGAGGCACATGGGTTAAGAAAATGAGGTTAAACATAAATCACTGACTTGTATTTTCATAGTTTGTTTACATGCATTTCAAATAGTAGAGTTCATTTCACAGAGCTAAGCATCCTCTTTTGTCCAGCTGAAACGACAATAAGCCCTCAGTTGTCTAAATAAGTACACATACACATTTGCGTTGTGAATTAGCTGTGCTCTGCCAGCTAACGTTAGCTTACAACAAAGGCTAACATAACAATCTCACATTCAGTGTTAGTGAGAGACAAACCGTGTTAGGTTATTACCTGTCTTCGGGAGCATAATTGCCGTCCATACGAATCTTGTCAAGCAGCACAAATACGATGTATCTGCCGTGTTTGGAACGCCGATGAAGCCTCGTAGAGCCAGGAGTAACAGCTGCACAAGTACGTGGTCCGCCGTCGTTGTTGTTGTTGTTCGACGTATCTGACGTATACAGTGACACAATGACGTGGCACCCTAACCACCTCAAGCCGTGGAAAAGCAAATTGGTTCTCAGCTGGTGCGCAAGTTGAACCAACTGAGAACCAGCACCAGCTTTGGTGGAAAAGGGGTAACAGAGAAGCCCTGGACCATTTAAAGGGATTGGATTTATAGTAGAAAACTCATTAAGGGTGTGGTGCCAAATTAAAAAAAATATTTAAACTAACAAACACTTCTATTTTTGTCCCCATTTGTCACAATCATACATTTCATCCTTCTTAATTGGATCCTGTTTTCTCTGTCTGGAAAGGGAAAGGCCTGGTCACTGTGAAAGACTTGTATATTGACAATGCTTTTTCCTCATTTGATCAACTTTAAGACAAATTTGAATTGCAACCATCTCATTTTTTCAGGTATTTACAAGTCAGGAACTATGCTAGAGTAAGCATTTCAAAGTTTGAAATTTATAATTCCCCTGACGAAGTCTATTCTCTTCTAACAAAAGAACCTGAGTCCAAAAGGCTAGTGTCTATGTTTGTAAATGTGTTTGTGGCTCAAACTGCTCCAAGTACACAACACCTGAGAGAGTGCTGGGAGAGGGAAATAGGCACCGTCATCTCAGAAGATGCATGGTGTGAATGTCTTCGTAGCATACACACATGTTCAATTAATTCAAGACACCAGCTAATTCAATATAAGGTTATACATAGACGCCATTATTCACGTGTTAAACTGCATTCATTTTTTTCATCCTCTTCACCACTATGAGTAAAATGCAAACAGTCCAAGGGCACACTGGCACATATGTTTTGGTTCTGCACTAAACTCCACAGATTTTAATGTGAGGTTTTCCATTTTTACTCTGAGGTTTAATGATATGATCTTCCTCCAGACTCAGAGACAGGAATTCTTGGCTGGTCTCAACAGCTCGAGACTCTTAGAGACTGGAAGGTTTTGTCAATCCAGTATGGGATGGTCATTGCTAAGAAAATTATTCTTAAAGTCTGGAACAAAGAGATACCTCCAAGTTTTGAAGCCTGGCTCACGGAGCTCTCAAGCACCTTGTATATGGAGAAAATTCGATTTAAGATATCAGGGAAATCTAATAGATTTCATCAGATATGGCAACCATTTCTTGATCACATCACACAGCGGCGAGGACCCTCATGACACCTCAATGTTCTGACTGTTTATTTCTTTGTAATTTCTTAAGTATATTGTGATTACAGTTGCAGATGGCCACAAGATTTTTCGTTATAGAGTTAAGACTTTCCTTTTTTTTCCCCTTCTTTTCCTAGCCTGCTTTGGGGGAGAGGGGTGGGAAGAAAAGGGTAATAGTATGGGTTGTTATTTACCTTGATGTTCTGTTTTGCACATCTGAAAATGAATAAATAAAGTATTAAAAAAAAAAAAAAATGCTTTCCTCCAACAGAGTCAGCTTATCCACTAAAAAGAAAAACAGATAACTAATCGGAGCCCTGATGCTGTAGGTAACAAAATGAGACCATATGCTAGGGGGGAGGCAGTGCACACGCAGCCTTCACCAACAGAGGTTGATTACAAACTCAAATCCAGTTGTAACTCGAAATAAACTTTAGTTCAGATGCTACCTCTAAAAAAACATCAGGCTATACACGCTGGCAACTGGGAAGCGCTAACGCAACCCTCCAGCAGAAAAAACTCCAGAAACAAAGAACATTATCTCAAGTGAACATCAAGTGCCAGCAAGACTTTCACCGACAAGTCTTTAACAAAGTAAGTAATATAATATTAGTTTGCAAACAACTTAGGAGTTACATACCTTGTCCATAGAGTGAAGTGACACACCGGCAAAAAGATGCACCGCTTCCACACTGAATCAAACGTAGTTAAACAACTCCTCTCAAGAGGGAAAGAATGCCGTCGCAGCTCCTGGAGGGCGAACGTCCGCTACTCCAACCGACAATGGCCACGGAAGTACTAGCGACAGAATATAAGCTTGAAATGCAGTTCAGTGCTTCCAAAAGCAACCTGCGCGCGAGAAGATGAAAAGGAAATTATCCTCTGATATCACCGGAAGATATAGTCTCTTATGGATCATCCAGGGGTCACAGGTGACATTGTTGGTATACATACTCGAACTGCGCATGCGCGAAGGGGAATATTCAGTGCTTAAAGCACCACCTCTGGCGGTCAGCAGGGATGAAACAGAACTCTGCTTATTTGGGAATAAGCCCCTCCTAGAGTCTACTTACAGCATTGGAGGCAGCCATTGCTGCTGTGTCTGGCCCCCGGTCGCCCCCTCCATTTAACTCCCCGCCCTCCCTTTTGCTGTCTTCTAGCTCTGTCACAGACACAGCACCGGGCCCCTTCTTCTTCTTCAACTTAGCCAGGATTGACGACTCCCTCTCTGGGAAGGGAGGCATCTCCTCCAGGACAGTGGCCTGAGGGAACAGAGAAGGCAATCATGCTGGGGGTGTGGACTGAAATAGCTGCCAAAATTTGACTAAAAATACACATCACTGTAGACGGATAACATGTTCAGCAAAAACATGACGGCAGAGCTCTAGACTGTATCCATTTTTGATGACAAAGTAACAAACGTTTATTAACAATATCCACCAGTGCTCCTTGCAAATGTTGTTTTATTATTTCTGGACCTGAGCTAAGTTGAGTTAAGTCATCTGAACTAACCAGAACATCGGTACTAGCGATGGACGAGAGCTTGAGATACTCTACAGCACGCTGCTGCAACTCCACATCCGAATTGCGGATCTGGCTGTCGCAGCGCAGCACCTCTTGGATGGTAGCCTTGGTCTCTGGGAACAGGTTGATAAACTTGATGTATGCTGACAGCAGCAGGGCGCGAGTCGGCACAGAGCACAGATGGAACTTGGAGTGGAGAAGGTTGAACTGGACCAGGGGACTGGACAACAGGACAGGGCAGTTACTATTTATCATTTCAACAATTAACTTAAAGCCTCAGCAGCCAAAAAAACAACATACCTGGAGCGCGGGTCACCAGCAATGAGGTTACCAAACTCTCCCAGAATGTAGCCTCCAACCTTCACCATGTTCTCATGGCAGGCAGGGGCCTGCAGGGCCTGGAAGAGACAATGATTCAACTTACTGGTTTCTAATTACAAACTAGAATTACCTCCCTGTGGTTGTATGCCTCTACCAACCAGTCAAGTATCTCTTACAATTTACATCAATGTCTGTGAAAACATGGAAGCTTCACACACAGAAGATCTATACAATCATTACAGTTTTAAGGTGGACACCCAAGATGAGTGTCACCAATTCAGTATCTGACCAAATGTCTCCCCATCTGTTCCTGAGTTATGGTGTTGAAGAATGGCCAGAAAAGTTTTTTTTTGCAGCACATTATGATGTCACAGTTATGCTGACCTTTGAGCTTTTGGATATAAAATGTCATCACTTCACTATTTTATCCCCTTAGACATTTTTGTGAAATGTTGTCATAATTAGCATATGAATTCTTGAGTTATTCTTGAGTCTTGAGTTAAATTATGTTGACCTTAACCTTTGACCACCAAATTCTAATCAATGTATTCCTAAGTCCAAGAGGACATTAATTTTGTCAAAAATAATGTTTGATTTATCTATATCACTCAGCCCTAACTGGAATTGTACCTCATATAATTTCATGGGACAAATGAATCTGATTGAATTGCTTGATGCTCATGATAAAAATGCCCAAAGCCAAACAATCCTTTTTTCCGTAACGCATTGTGTAAAATATTAAAGGTGTTTTCTGCAAAGCCTTTTTTATTAAATAAAAAAAACATCACAAGTTCTCAAACATTGAACCAATCAGCTATAAAAGAACTTGTCTAAATTAAATTTTGATTTAAATAAGGAACAACTTAATCAAAGACATTCCCTGTCCAGGATTTCTACAGTGTAAGGCAGGTTAGCGTTTAGACTTTTTTTTAAGACTGTAATATACACTGCCTGGCCAAAAAAAAAAGTCACCACCAAAAAAAAAGGTCATACACTCTAATATTTCGTTGGACCACCTTTAGCTTTGATTACGGCACGCATTCACTGTGGCATTGTTTCGATAAGCTTCTGCAATGTCACAAGATTTATTTCCATCCAGTGTTGCATTAATTTTTCACCAAGATCTTGCATTGATGATGGTAGAGTCTGACCGCTGCGCAAAGCCTTCTCCAGCACATCCCAAAGATTCTCAATGGGGTTAAGGTCTGGACTCTGTGGTGGCCAATCCATGTGTGAAAATGATGTCTCATGCTCCCTGAACCAGTCTTTCACAATTTG